TTTAAATAATAAAAAAAAAATTGCAATTAATAATAAAAATTTTTCATACCTTCAAAAAATGTGTCCGCCATTCTTTTTGCCAGAAACTGTATATAATAATTAGTATTTGTATAGATTTTGATTAATCTGAATCTAATCTAAATAGATTTAAATTAAATTTATCAGATTTAAATCAGATTCAGATTTAAATTCAAATTAAATCTGATTTGTTAAATTCAGATTTAAATTTAGATTTGATTATTAGATCTAGTTTTGAATTTTATTTGAATTGTTCTTATTGAACAATTTATTATTATTCTTCTTAAATGATTCATTATTATTTAATTAGAATAATATATTATAATTTTCTTTGAATATTTAATTAAAATAATATATTATCATTTAATTAGAATAATATGTTATTATATTTCTTAAATAATTTATTATTATTCAATTAAAATAACTGAAAATTTGTTTTTTTTAATGAAAAGAAATGTTTTCAAATCATTTTAAAACTGAAAATTATTTTTTTTAATGAAAAAATACTTATTATATATTTTTTAGAGATAGATCTAAATCAGATCAGATTTGAATTTTAACTGATCTGTCAGGTTCAGATTTGAAATTTAATCTATTAGATTTATATTTATATTAAATCTAGATTTAAATAAATCTGTTAAATTTAGATTCAAATTAAATCTATAATAAAATCTAATCAAATCTGATTTTATGTATTAATAATAATAATTAAAAATATTGTATTACCTAAATATAAAATTTAAAATAGTATTACTTTATAATTAAAATAGTGTAGTATTATAAAACTTAAATATATTATTTGTTATATCTTAATCTTTATCAATTTCTTTAATTTTTTAAGGATTTTTTTTATTATAAATCTTTTATCAAAATAGTTTTAAAAAATAAATATCAACATATATTACATAATATTTAAAAAAAATAACTATATAATATATATATAAAATATTTTGTGACATATTCACTACTTTGTAATTTTATAAAATATTATTATATAAGAGAAGATATTTGATAATAACAATTCAAAAGAAGAAGATAATTACTAGAAATCTTATATATTTTATATATCTTTTATGTTATCTATACCATTTATTTCTTCTATACAATATATTATTTCTATTTATTTTATATTATTATTTATTATATTTATTTCTTTTATTATTTTGATAACTTTATGTATTTTATTTTATATAAATAGAAGATATTTTCTTTTAACTTAGTAGTATATTTAGTTCATATTTCTTTAGATAGTTTAATTTAATTTTTCTAATACATTTATATAGTATAGAGTAATGATTAAAGCAGTATTTAATTGTTATTATTATTAAATAAACTGTTTACTGACTAACATTATTTCTAAATTAATTATAAAATTAAACTTCTGTTTATCATTTGAAACTATCTCTTTACTTATCACTTATAAGTATCTTAAAGAAATGACTATAACAATATTTATGGTTTTTTGCTGAAAAAAGCTAAGATTTATGCTTTATTTGAAGAAGGAATTTACTCTCACTATATAACAAACAAGAAAAATATTTTCTAATTAACTATTATAAGAATCAAATAATAAAGATAAAACTGGTAATAATAAAAACTAATTAAATTTAAACGTTCATAACTTTTAACTATTCAATATAAATAAAATATTTTAAAATTATTTATAATAGATGAATGTAATAATACTATTGCAATTCAAAAAAAAATAAAAAATAAAAAAATAAATTGAAATTAATGAATATACAAATAAAGAAAGTTTACATAAAAATAGAATAAATATAAGAATTAATTATAAAAAACTATATTTTTAAAAATGAATAAAATTACATGAATAAATTTACAAAAAAATATAAATTTTTAAACAGTTGAAGATTAAAGTAAGATGATTTGATCAAATATATTAAATTTATAATTATAGATTAAATGATAAAGAATATTGTTAAAAAATTAGAAAACTATTAAGAGACTATCATGTTAAATTTATAGTTAAATTTAGATAGGTAATATTATAGTATGAGAATATTTTACATCTGATAGGATTAGTAATATATGCTAAATTTATAGATATGTGAATAGTAATTTATATTATCAAATTTTAAAGAAAAATATCTTATAAAGTAATAGCTTAAAAATAATAAAATTGAAGTTTTGATTAGCTAACATAATTCTCTAACTTAAATCCCATAAATACCTTTAGAATAAAATGTATTATTATCTAAAGTAACTTGAAATATCTGTTAAAATATAAGATCAATTATAGAATATAATTAAAAAATTTAGGTTTGATGTATATGTAAAAATTTAATTGATATTATACTAACTAAATAAATAATTTAATTAGAACTATTTATCAAAGTTTAATATTATTAGATTGATATTTATTTTTTTTATATATATAAAAAATTTAATAAAAAATGATTAAAAGAAAATAATCACCTAATTGATTAAAAATAAATATTTTTTATATATTATCTTATTACTCAATGATTTTCATATTATTAAATAGATTTAATTATGATAAGTCTAATAAATAATTATATGATATTGCATATTTTTAATTATAACATAATGCTATTTTAAAATTTGTATTCAAATAATATAATACATTTGAGTACTATTGTATTTTTTATAATATTAATTAAATTATAAGAAATAATTTTATAAATAATTGGAAAATATAATAATAAGATTAAAAATATAATAATTAATAAAAAGATTTATACTAAATTAAAGTTTATATTTTAAATTGAATTATGATAAAGAAAAATTTAAAATGTAATTTAAAATTTAGTTTAAAGTATATAATTAAATTCTTATATACAAAAAAATCCTTTTTAAATATATCTTTTTTGATAATTAGTTCAACTATTATAATGCATTTTGAACATAATAATACATTTCAACTATTATAATTGATTTTGATTATAATAATGCATTTATAATACATTTTAACTATCATAATGTATTTTGGTTTTAATTTTGACTGTAAAAATTTATATTTAAAAAAGGGTGTGCATTTAAAAAGAAATTTTATATGATTTCTATATACTTAGACTGAATAAGAACATGTATTTAGAAAGAAAATATATAGTGTATGCATTTAGAGAGGGTGCATTTGAAGAGGTTTGACTGTAAAAATTAAATGTTAAAAGATAACTTATCAATATACAAAGTGTTAAAACGAATCCAATTATATATTTGGATCCAATTTTATTATTTTCCTTTGTTATACCTTTATCTATATTTACAATATTATATAAAAAGTAAGCCTTATTAAAAAAATAAATGTTGATGAACATTTAATTGATTAATTAATTGCAAAGAGAATAATGATGCGAAGTCAAAATTACCATTACATTATGATGCCCTTGCATTATAATAAGAATATCATGATTTATATATCCCAGAGAATTCGGGTTTCACCTTTAAAAGATCAAATAAATTGGATCTTCACATTATTAGTTATACTCATTGAATTTGATCAATAACATTGAACAATCAATTGATGAATTGAGTCCACCTATTTAAGGCGGTGGTTAAGTAACATTACCAAACGATGTTGAATAACTAAATACGCAAGTAAAGTAAAAAGGATAAAAGAAAACCAATAAATCATCAAAAACAATATATTTTATTAATAAAATCTCTCAAAATTATCATTCAAAATAACCGCATCATCTCCATATTCTTTAATGACACCAACATTTTTATAATGATTAATTAAATCATCCAACCTTTCAATATTATCTGATTTTTTATCTTCCACTTCAACCTCAAGCGAAGATAACAACAATGGTTTTCGTCCTTTCCAATTTTCAAAAAAGGTTTTCAAACATTCCATTTTAAAATAACTAAAATTACCAATATGCACCTTATATAAACCAAGTGGAGCTGATGTTGTCAACATCTTCAATAATTCAATACCATGTTGAGAAAGATATTTTCTGTTTGTGTCAATGAATATTCCTTCTAACAGTTGACAGTTGATTAAAACTTTCCGAAATATGGGGAGATATCCCTTATCTAAATAAAATTTAAGGCATTTAAGTTTTGGACAACATTGAGAGATCGCCGACAGAATATTCTCTGAATAATTATAAGCATTAAAACGGAGCACAATTATTTGAAGATTATGTGATTTTAGGATTATGCTGTAAGCTGCAATGGAAGCGACAGAGTAGGATAAATTAAGGTCAATAACTTGTAAATTGGGATAAGATGGAAAAGTTAATTGCTTATAAACTTCCGAATCATAAACACCGTGAGTTAATTCCAATTTCTGTATATTATTTAATCCCAAAATAAGATCGTTAAGAAAAGGTAAATCCTTTTCAATAGGTATGCTCACAACAATAAGGGTGTGAGAATGTTTCAATATTGCCGAACAAATTTCTCCATCATCAATTCTGCTCCCATATATCTTTAAATATTTGATTTTTAATTGATTTTTAATTAATTCGGCAAGTCCAAGATTAGGAATTGTATGTTTAATATAAAACTTTTCTATAAATTTACAAATCCGAGCCAATCCAAAGAAAAGTGATGCATTATCAGTGCTTTTACAATGTAATTCATAAAGGTCAGAAAAGATGGTTACTGCTCTAGGAATTTCAAGTACTGTATGTTCAACGTCGGTCGTATCAAAGAGTACGAGCTTAGAACAATTGCTAATAAATTGTTTAAATATCTCTTGTCTCAACAATTTAACTTGTTCATCATTATATTCATAAAAAACTTCTCTATCGAGTTTCCTAAGGTATTTACAGAAGCCGATGTAATCAAATAGAGGTTTACGTCGTTGAGGAACATCAATACCTTGACTTTTTAATAAATCACTTGATTCTTCCGGCAAAAGTTGGAAAATTGTATTGAAGAATATCTTCGCTCTTTTAGAGTTGAGAGTTTTTGTGATTATCCATGGATCTCTCCATAAAATTGGAATCGCGGTTTTACACCAAAATCTATTAACGAGTAAATAAGAATACAAAGAATTTATATCACAAAATTCGAATATTGCCGTAAGACAATCTTGATTGAGTTTCATTTTTAAAAGAATTTTTTTTTTTTTGTTCAGAACACAATTTGACCATTTATTTTTTTTTATGATCTTGTGTTACGCTCCCACACGGCCAATAGATAATCATCGTATCATCGTACAATATAAAATTTACACTATTGAAGAAATATGATGCCAAAAAAGATCATGATTGCATAAATATCACTAATATTACTGTTATATTTAAAGTTTACATCATTTGGATTAAATGTGATATTTAATTCAAAATTAATTTTTCCTTTTATCACATTCATTGAAATTTCTAATTGGTCATGTAAAATTGATTTCGTTAAATTTTTCATGTAATACTAAAAAAATGAATTGATTCTCGGCGGTTCACACTGACTTTAAAGTAGCAAAGAGAGGCTTGTTTCGGTGCGGCTCTGGCTCAGTGATCATTATAAGGATTTCCAGGGGCCGTAGTCTTCATCCGAACAGACCGGCGACTAGAACTAAAAAAAAAATAAAATGACAAATTAATAAATTTAGCGAAAAGTTTTAAAATAATGTTTAATAATTTAATACAAAATACTTTGCAGCTTTAAAATTTCTTTCCCATTATTTGTTTATCATTTCCGTTAAGTATCAATGAATATTGATGCTTCAATTCTTCTGATGTTCTTTTCTTATCTAGAATAGTTAGTGGTCTTTCTTCTATTAAGTTAATCCTAATAATTTTACAAATTTCTTTGAAAAATAATTTAGCCTTTTTGATCCTATATGATTTAGCTTGTATCAAATTCAGTTTTTAATGCTAAAAAATATCATTAAAGTAAATAATTTTTTAACATTCAATTAAATATTATATTACCAAATGGTTCTTAAACTTCCTGAAGGTAAAAATCGGATTAAACTCCATAGGACGTGATGATAAATACTAATCTAAATATGGTGTAATGTCTGAATGATTGGATAAAGTTAATTTGTCGGCCTTTCCAGTAATAATATTAAAAAATTGTATCTACCTTATCATATCTAATAAAATAGTTGCTTTAAGTAATGCATGCTCTGCCCAAGATATATTGCATTAATAAAAAGTACTCTTTTAATAATCTTTTATGTCTAGAACCATCTAATAATTTATGATTTAAAATGTGAGTAATTTATCAGCTTCTAAAGAATCTGATCCTTTAGTTTTATTCTTACCATTATTAAAAAGAAATCTAATTTTATATCAACAACTTGCTTTATAACTTTAAAATAAGAATCACTGTATATAAATTAATAGCTTTATATTATTAAAAAAGTGATAAATAGTTGCAAAAAAAGCTCTAATAGAATTGATAAAATAAATAAAATCATTTTTTTTTTTATATCAGCAAAATAAGAATATAATTATTAAATTAAATCTTTGCTTATGTCTATTTTCTGAACTTTTCTATGTAAAATTATTTAATTTAAAACTTTTCTAACAAACTAACCTAAGTATTTATTATATTAACTATATTTTAACTTTATAAATTCACAATAAGAAGTTCACTTAATTCATCAATTTATATTAAAGTATATAAAGTAATATTAAAAAATAAATATAAATCAAAATATTTTAAATTAAAAATACTTTATTTTTTTAAAATTTTTTATATTTGTATCATTTTATATATTAATAAATAAAAAGTGAAAAAGAGAAAAATTTAAAAGGAAAGTTAAAAATAAAAATTGACAAAAAATAAGAAAATGTAAGAAAATTATTAAAATGATAAAAGCTTATAATAGTTTAACATGATCTTAAATATCTATATAATAATTTGGCTATTAATATTTATTTAAATATTAATTAATTATGAAGTTATCAATTTTTAACATATTCATTAATTAAAATTAATAGTGAAATATATAAGTATTTATAATTGAGTTACTTTTAACTATTAAAAATCTTATATTATACTTATATATTAATTAAGAAATTAAAGATCAACTATTGATTTTTCTTTTAAATAATTACTTTTTTATATTTATATGAAATTTTATTTTAAAAATAGGTTTTTTTTTTTATAAAATAATTATTATATAAAAAAATACAATATATTAAAATATTAATAAAATATTTAAATATTATATATATATACTAAATTAATAATAAGATAAAAATACTTATATTAGAAATTTTATTTAATATTCTTTATTTATTAATTAATAAAAAGAAAGTTTTTCAAATCAAAAAAAATTACATTATAATTAAAAATAATAAGTTAATATAAAATATTTTTACATATTAAAATCAATATATAATAGATAAAATATTTAAAAAGATCTTAAAATATTTAAACTATTTAACTTTTAAAACTTATAAAAATATTTTAAAAAGTAAATAAACATTATAAGATAAAAATTTAAAATAATTAATAATATTATATAATTATTTTATATGTAAAATAAAAAATGATAAAAAATCAATAATATTAATTAATCAAATTATTAATATTTATATATTGTTATATGAGCTGTATAATCTACTTACTAAAAAATAAACTTTAATATATATAACAAAGTTTTAGATTTTTAAAGGTTAACAATTTATATTAATAATCCTAGAATCTTATTTACGTTAATAAAATTATTAATATAAATTAATATAATTAATATATATAGGAGAAAGCAATAATAATAGTTAGGTTTTAAATTACAAATTTAACTGATTAAAGTTATAGGGTAAAAGTTAGTTTATTAAATAAAGAAGTTAGATCTATATCATTCAATAATTTTAATAAGTTTTTATTCGTAAACTTATAAAATTTTAAATTCAATAAACTAATTTAAAATTAAACTTATTTATAATTAATTTTAAATTATCTGTAAAACTGACTAATTATAGAGTTTATATAAAATTCTTATCCTATTTATATAAAACTTTTGATCTACTTCTATTACTAATTAAAAATAAAATAAAACTTAATAATTTATAAAAATATTATAAATATTATTAATTTAATTAATAAGTTTAACTAATTAAACCTTTTTAACTATATTAACATATTTAATTTTATTAGTAACATTATTATTATTTCTGTCATTTTTATAATTTTAATTAATGATCATTAAATCACAATTAAGAAATTATGACTCTATTTTATAGTAATATATAGAATTATCTTTAGTTTCACTTAAGGTTTTTAGACAAAATCTATAAAAAAATATAAAATTTAGCTAATTTATATTAAAATTTTATTAAAAATCTGCGAAATTCTAAAAAAGGTAAAATTATATCAAAGCTTATAAAAATGCAAAACTATTTCTTAAACTGTAGAGGTTCGCAGACATATTTACCTACTTATTTACTATAAATTCCCTTCTGATTTACTTTTATGAAAAATTAAAATATTTAAAAATTTTTTTTTTAAATTAATTTTATAAATATATATAATATTATAATAAATTTTATTTTTTAATTATATAAT